TGTGATGCACCGTGTGAGTAACGCAACGTAGTTGAGGCACCATGGTTTTAATGCACACCTTTAACCCTAGCTGTGTGCAGGAGGCTATTACTACATTGTATTTAGCACTTGCTAATCTAGAAATCATGGAGGGTAAATGAAAAGAGAGGTTACAAATCAAAGGCAGGCTGATCTTGCGGTTAGATGTGGCCTCCTGCTACGCACAGGACTATTTCGCCTCTGACAGTATAGAGTTAAGGGCTCCCCAGCCGTGCCACCACCGTGTCGGCTGCGAGGGTAAGAGGCTGTGGGGCTGTGGGTGAATGTTGAGGGGGGTCTGCAGGGGGATACGGAGTAGGTGGGTGCAGGTATAGATTTGGGGGTGGGGGAGGGTAGTGGTTGCAGTAGTTGGGAGTGGGTGAGGACAGGGCGGTTGTGGGAGTGGGTGTGGACATCACTTGGTGCCCAGAACGGCCAAGCATGTATTTCTTTAAAAGAAAGCCATCAGCACCTCGATCTCCTCCAAAGCTGCCTTGAGAAGCCTCCCCCACCAGTAAACCCAGCACTTCTGTCATCTGGGCTGGCCAAGCAGGAGGGCTCAGGGTCCAAAGGCTCCAAAGCACAAGCTGCTGCCTGGAGCTCTCACACAGAGCCAGGAGCTGAATTTCAAGCAGAGGAGTTTGGCAGCCGTTCCCTCCGACGGTCACCCCTGCCTGCTGCACCCAGACCTGTTTGATGTAAGCTGATACATTTTCCCATTAGCCAAGAACTATCATTCAGAGCAAATCCACCACCCTGGACTAAGTATATGCTACAGAGGAGGCAGAGGGGCTCGTGGTTGTCTCATATAAAATTCACTTCTGTGAATTTTCCTTCTCCACCACCGTCTCCACACTGCTGTTGGTGGCACTTTGGTACACTGGGACAGGGGAACCAAGGAGGAAGGTTGCTGCAAGTGCTATAGTTACGGGGGAAGATTCATGCTGAAGTCCTACCAAGCCATCGTGATGGGCTATTCTGGATACTGGAGTTACACTTCACTAATTGGTCAAACTGGACCCCAAACCAGCTCTTTTAACCCAGTAGGACCAAAGTGCTCTGACGTCTAGCCACGAACAACAGTGCTTGGTACGTGAATTTGTAAGAGAGCTTACAGAAATTAACGTTAACCCAGATGTACGATTTGGGCCTTCAGCTGTCTGTGATAAATTCCTGTTTTTATCCAATGCTCCAAACCAACTTGAAAGTTCAGCCATTTGAATGCTGCTTAGAGCATCACTGCAGTTTGCAAAATATGTCATGTAAGAATACAGGTGTGACTTTCATTGTTATTTGAAGCTTGTCTGATGCACCAGGAGTTGCCTTTTCTTTACTGGGCTCTGTCCCCCTCACTCCGCTCCTCAATCCGCCATGAAGTCACCAGTCATGTAAACGCCTGCGCAAACATATTGAACGTGAGTCATGCGACATCTGTTGCTATTTATTAACCTGTGGTTTATATCTTTGGAGTACATGGTATTATCCTTTATGGATGTGGCTTTATCTCTGTTATTACAATATGTAATTAATTAAGAATATTAAAGTTTGTGTTTAAAAAAATTATATTCCTAACTTTTATCTATGGAGGCAACATTTTCATAGCCATTCTCTCCCAATGGCAGCATCCCTTGGGAAGATGTGACAGACACATTTAGGTAAATATTATTCCTCCAGCACACATGGTTTCCATTGCAATCGATCCCCTGCTGTTTCCTTCCAAGCACTTTCCTCTATTACATATTCCACAATGGTGGCTGAAATACTGATCAGCGATAGCAGAGACAAATTGGCTCCAGCAACCGGGAGTTTTAAGGGCAACAAATGTTTATATCTGGGTTTTGCATGTACCGTAGTTACTGAAATACAGTTTTTAGGTGTGCACTGAAATTTTTCGCTGGCATTGAAAGTCTAAACCTGCTTGAGGCAGTTATAATTCAATAAAGGACAGAATGAATAAAGACTGACTGAGACGGGACATAAAGATAGCACACTACAAAACAGCTGCACGGGCCCAAAAGCTGTCGAGAAGATGCTGGCTCCTGTAGCCTCACCTTCAGGCTGCGAGCAGCCCGGCTGCTCCACACAGACCTGGCGCAGAAGCTGCGCCGGAGCCGCTCGCGAGCTGCCTGAAGCTCCGGGGTCACAAGCTGCCCGCTGCAGGCTAGCCGAGAACTGATGCTACCTGCTTTTCAAGTGGCTCGGCCATTGGAAAACGTTTCTTCGCAGATGGTAACAGCTGGGAAAAAGCAGGGCGGGAACCGCGTTGTCCAGTGACTGTTTCCTCAAAGGCATGTCAAGCTCTAGCTCCAGGCGCAGCAGGGTGGTCGGACATTTTCCCTCCCTGTGCCTCACCCAGCACGCGCTGGGCACCGTTGGACTGCTGTGGGATGCCACCCCAAACCAGACTGAAGCCGGCGTGCCCCTCCAGGCGTTACCTGCTGTGGGGAGCTGCAGAGAGGTACGAGGAGAATCAGTGCATACGCTTTCACCAGCATATTTGCGGCATCTTCAAAGTCTCCAGCATACGAACAGAACTGGACAGGAATGTACACCCGTGCCCTAGATATCTGTCCATGATGAACGTGCTCACGGGGGTCCAGGCTCTAAGAATGCACCTTCTCACCACCCACTGTGGCAACAGCAGACCAAGCACTGGGATTCTTTGAAGCCTGACTTCCCTTTTTATTGATTATATTATTATTATTACTACTGCTACTTTGGTGGTTGTTGTTGAGCACCATGTGCTCAGAACTTTCGAGGCAGGATGTCTCTGCTCCTAGGCTATAACTGCAGGTTTGATGCTGGAACCTACATCGATATAAGTGACACTGCCATACCCTGCACCATCTGCCGAGGGGCTGGACCTGCCTGCCTGGCAGGCAATCATACAATGAAAGATTCATGGAAAAATCTGCAGCGTGAAAGGAGCATCGCATGACTAAAAATACACCATGTTTTTTTACCAGGAGAGATCTTTAGGACAGGAAGATCTTTCTAACACAAACTGGAATCACTTCCACTTCTGCATTCCCTATCTCTTCCTCTCGGAAATGACCCCAGGCTGGCCCTTGCCCTTGCTTTGGGGGATGTACTTCTGATTTGTATCTATCTCAGGAGGCCGCGAGATATGGAATGAACTCTCATTACCTCTTGCTGATGTAAAGAGCCACACAGCGGATGCCTGAAGCCGTGCTCAGTGGGGTCGATGTAAAACAATAGTGGACCCCGGCAGGACTTTTCCTTCAACTTCCACAGGACCCACTGTAATGGAGAGAGCGGTCTGTGGCTGTCCATTTAAAAAGCCGTGCCTTCACAAAGCCTGTAGCAATGTGGCCATCACTAAGAAGAGCCTTCTTGTTGTGCTAACTAAGAATTCCCATTAATTGATATCACTATCCGAGTCCCCGAGCCTCCGTGTAAGCAGCAGGGGTTATAGCGCATGAGAAAGCCCCCATGCCGTGGCATTGCTGGGGGTTGCTGGAGTAGTAATGAGCTGAAAGGCGAGATCCTGCACTAGGAAACACAGGACCAGATCATGAAAAACACAGCACAACCCCAGGCAGGAGCTCAGGCCCCCTCAGTTGGGGGCACCCCAGCTGCTACAGGGGCCCGCATGGCAATAGCCACGGTGTGGTAGGCTACAAGGAGTCAACGGCAATGTCCCGTTGTTTCCACCCAGCAACGTGGGCTAAATGGAAAACCCAAGGCAGCAGCGCAGAGACTGCAGCGTGGCTCTCCGGCACAGGGCCGGGGACCTTCCCTTGCGGGGCGTGAGGTCAGTGGTGATTTGGGTTTTCCCCGACCATGCTACAGAAGAAGAGGTACCTACCGTACAGTCACTGCTTCCAGGCACTCCTGGGAGTGGCACTTTACGTTGCCATCTCTTACAGCCTGAAAATATACTAACCCCCACCTATTTTTCAGAGGCCACACCTACATTTTTAGGAAAGGGCAGATGCAGGAGGCTCTCGAGACCAGACTGTCTCTTCTACACATGTGAGCCTGCAAGCACAGCCACAGAGCGTCCTCCAAGATCTAAGTGTCCAAGGGGCTTGGACGCATTCGTACCCTGCTGAGCACGCTCACAGGTTGTCCTCAGGAATGGGCGGTGATGCTAGGTGAGCTGAATGTGGGGAACACTTGCGTTTGTTCATTTGGTTGCAGTAAAGACTTAAACAATTAAAGAGAAAAACTTTTCACAGCATGCTTAGAATAAAGAGCAATTCTTTATCATACAGAGTAATGCCTTATACATAAATAATTTGAATGTCTCACTCTTTCACGGAAAGTAACAGAGAAAAACCTTCAAGGTTGATACATGAGAGCTGGCATTACTAATCACATAGGGTCAAACCCAAATCCTACATCCAAAGATCCAGACATTTGGTTCCAGAGTTGAGCTATACATCACCTCCCTCCCCTGCCCTGTAAGGAACTGAATCAGGACCCTCCTTGGAAGACCACCCCCATCATCAACCTCTGGTTACGGATCCCAACCCTGCAACCTCGACCCACTGCTGAAATCCAGTCCTTTACATTTGCAGCGGTATGAAATCCTGGTCAGCAGCTGCAGAAGGAGCTGTTGCCTTCTCCAACGTGTGTTATCCACGGGTTTTCAGAGGTGACTGAACTAAGCCGAACTAAGCCTACCCAAGCCGGACCCCTTGCAGCTATTTCTACTTCTTGGCTGACAAGCTGGTTACCGAAGCAGCAAGGCTAGGTATTGCATAGTCTAGCGACATTTGACTAAAACTGGGAGCGTTTATGCAGAACAGCAGTGTGGGAGCAGATAAAGAAGCTAGCAGGGCTGCAGTGAGGAATCTGAGCTTTGATCAAGGAGGCAGCAGCATTTGACTCTATCTGAGCTGGCAGGGAGATTCCATCCCAAAGCAAAATAAAATATGTCATTCTTTTCAGCAGATGAAGTTCTCCCCAGAGGTTTGCTCCTCCCAGGATCATTTTATGTGATCTCATTGTTGTCTTTAAAGTCTTTCCCCTGAGGAAGCCGATCGTTTAATATAGACTACAGCGTTCGCATCCGGTATTAAATCAGTCAGGCTACTCTGAAATGAGGCGAGTGGGCGTCCTGGAGAGAAAATAAAAATGCAAGTTTAATAGAGGAGATGATAGGTTCACCTTGACCCATGCTATTTATGGCAAAGGACACAGGAACACACCGCTTGCTCAACGGAGGGTCAATCCACCCTGCCACAGATGTGTTGTACACTCCCAGTAAGCTCCAGATGCTCACCGAGTGGGCACAAGGAATGCACAATTGGGCCCCGGAGGCTTTTACGTCTTGCTTTGCTTTACCGAGCTGCCCTAAGAGGGACTGTCGTGTTCCCACAGCTCTCATTAATCCAGCTGGCAAAGCTAGGCCCTCGGCATTTCAGCCACACGCCTTTGGCATCTTTGGCTACAAAGACGCTCTGTGACAACGCGGGGAAGAAAAACTTCAGCAAGGGAAACGCTAACAGCCCGCAGGCACGGCGCGGGATGGCGGGGATCAGTATCCGAGCCAGGCGCTGCAGAAAGGGTCTTCTGTCCCGCGTGCTGCTGCTTCTGCACCCCCACCGCCGCTGGAAGCGGGATTCCTTCCAGCCCGGCGCCGAACACAGCCGCTGGCAGCCGCCCCGTGGGGAAGCCAGATGTGATGCACGGGGCACAGCCCACACGATCCATTGCTGGTGCGCAACCGGCCCGAGGAGATTTACGTTGCATCAGCGTAAGCGCTCTTGTGTCACTAGTCTGCCATGTGCCGCTTGCACACGAACCCACAAAAGAGCTGCGTTTTTGGTAGTTTGGGGTTGGTTGTTTTAGTATGTCACGTGAGCAGACAAGACGTGATTCTTCAGCACCATCACCGAAAACACTCATTTACCTCGTTTAGTGTTTCAGTTTGTAATTAACAATTTAGCCCACGATTGAAGTGTCAGCTAAATGAGGTAATTCATAGTAATTCCGAAAACATGCTAACCGTTAAGAGGCTATAATCAGAGCTAATTACAGGGACATTTTGGAAATCCATTGGTTTGGGGCTTCAGTTTTGATAAAAGGGATAACAGCTTGTAAGCTATGATCCTTTTAATTATAACAATAGTAACCACCTTCTTGAACATAGCTTCTTTCATCTCTGAAAACCCCACAGCTTTTTGCAAACTATTCATACCGCAGGAATTGTTTAGCCAAACACCAAGGTGAAGCCATCTCTGTGTGAAACAAGTAACTGTTTAACAATTCCCAGCAGTCCTGTGCAAAATTTGTAGAGGAAAGAAGGTGCAGAAGGAGAATATAATTTCTCTGGTGTCTCCTTACAAATACCCAGGGGACCCTTGGATCCCTATCCGGTCTTGAGAATACGGCAGGCAGCTTTTATATGCGCCCGTAGACCCAAGGCACTACGGAGGAGGGCGGCATCCTGTCACGTCTGCCCCAGCTCACCTGTCCACGTCCTCCGCTGCGTGACGATAAAACTTTGACACTGCGACTGGGAGTTACAAATCGCGGCGGCCTCCTCGGCGCTGTGAACGGAGAGCAGGCACCCCAGGTGGCTGTAGGAGGGCCAGCACTTGTAGTCTTCCCCTTCCGCCGTTCGGAAGCCCTTTAGGGAGATGTAGTCTGGGAATAGAAAGGAGGCGTTTAGGGAAATTCCTGAAGTGCACTTTCAGAGCCCAGTTACACCACACGCTTCGTGTGTGGCACTTCAGTGAAACTCTTAAAGGAAATGTGATAGTGATAGATTGAACTGACCTGCTCAGATGGAGCGGGTGCAGCTGCAAAGTTAAAAGAAACCCAAATCCTGACTTTGGTTCTGCTGTGGAGCAATTCCCCCACAGGTATGAGAGGTGGCAGAACTCTCAAGGGTGAAGGGACAGGGGAGACCACAGGGGTGGGTGAGGGGATGCTGCTGTGCAGACCAACCTTTCTAGCAGTGCTCCGGAGAAGCCAACCTCACAACGGCCTCTCCAACACCTCAGCCCCAACAGCAGAACCAGCTCATCACAGATCCTGCATCGAGCTACGCAGGGCACGTGCTGACCCACCTGCCATGGTGCCACCCACAGGTAGAGGAGATTTAGGAACCCCAGTGGGGGAAAGGGATGCCAGATCCTGCTCCAGTGGGATACAAAAGACCTGACAAGCCTGAGTAGGTGATGTTCAGGCTATTGTTCACTAACTGCTGTTCATCTTCCCACACCTCTAGGATGGTGATCATCTTGGCACATTGCTACTGGGCCAGTTGCAAAGCCAACGGGTAGGTGTTGTTGGAAAATACTGGCAATTCCTGTTAAAGCTGCTGGTCCTTCAGTGCAAATGCCTGGGTATCTTTGTTCATAACTGTGCAAATTCCAGTCCTTTCACACGTAAAGAGATTTCCTCCACAAGCCACCATCATCACCCCACCATGGCAAGTGAACACTCAGGAAAAGGTAAGCAAGTCACAGTAACCACTGGACTTTTGAAGCCTCCCTTTTGATTAGCCTCATCTCTACCACCGAACGGGTCCTTTTCAGAGGAAAGCATCTCACAGAGGCTCATTTATCCATCCACAGGCCCAACAGGATGGTCTTCAGAAAAAAGAAATTTAAAGGGCACTGAGGCCCCAGCTACTCTGCCACACCCAGCTCGGTGTTGTGACCTCCCCACTGTACGTTCCCATAATAACCTGTGCGCAGCAGTGAGAACCCACCAAGTTAACAGGAAGTTTCAACATCAGCCTGGAAAACTGATCTACTGGTCCAGAGGATAAGATGACCCCGAAGAGGGACATGAGAGACTCAGTTTTCTATTCTGGTCTAGTTGCTTAAGCTATCCCAAATATATTCACTTGAAACACTGATGCACATTATGAGAAGAGTATTTAGAAGCAGTGCAAACATGTGCCCATATGTAGGCCAGATTGCACTGCATTTATTTTGCAAAACAATGCAGCTCCCATGAAAAAAACAGCAAAAGGCTGCTCAAAAAAATACTTCTGTTGCTTTTCCTAGTGACTACACACTGCCTGAATGTATGGAAGAATAGAATTTGACCAGTTACCAAGTTCCTCGCTCCCTTGGTAGTTATGTTACTTAAAGCATTCAAAATCATGTACCTTTTAAAACAAGAGGTCTTTTCTGCAGATAGAGCCCAGACTTGTAGAGATGTAAAACCTTTTCAAAAGCTTGCAGGGTTTCATTTATTCCATATCGTAAATCACCTACATTTGAAGAAAAAGATGACAAAGATGAGTAACTCCACGAAATACCAGTTAGAGACTTCTAGTAAAGAAGTTTATGAATATTAGCTGGTACCTGTTGCGTTCAGAATATCGCTCAAAAAGGGTCGCAAAGCCGGTGGTGCAGAGTGTGGCAAAAGATAAGTGAAAAAATACCTGCAAAAAATCCCAGACTGATTGGAATACAATGGCTTAATTACCCTAGTGACTGAGTTGTCTACATTTTCCCATGACTCGATTATCCATACACAACTAGTAAGTCTGCTTTGGTTATTAAGTTCCGTTTGAGCGCTTCGTTGGCATCTCACAGACCGTTCCTGTGAGTTGGGCTGAAAGCTTGGTCCTTGCAGCACAGCATGTAGCCAAGCACTGCGTGAAATCCATCTTGCAAAGGCTCACGCAACAGAGCCTTCCCTCGTTCCCCAGGGCCATGTCTGTGCACTAAGCAATGCATTTCCCATCAGAAAAAGACCCATATAAAAGAAGACTCACGCAAGACCTTTCCCCTGCCCTGAAAAGGTTTGGCATTCTTATTACCCCTGGAAAGGCAAGACTACTCCTCCCCTGAACCTTCTAATAAACTCCTGTTCTACACGAGACGAGTGTGTTACTACAAGGCTGCAATAACCTATGCAGGGATTTGCCCTTCAACACCGAGGCCAGCAAATTCAGGCTCCCCAAGTCCTCCTGCGTAAATGTCCAGCTGCTGAGACTTCCAACGGCGAGTGGCAGTCACCGCGCTTTCAGCTGGTGGCCTACACGAAGTGCTGCAGCAGTCACAGCCCCTTGTCCATTACCTGTTTCATCGCTCTTCCATAGGTGCCCACAGTCTCCATAGGGAGTTGGAGTGGATGTTCAAGGATGGAGTTCAAGGGAAGAGCTAGCCAGCCTGTTCCCAACCATGGGGGCTCAAAGCTGGTGGGCTTTGGCAGGTAGCCCACACTGCCGCTGCTTTCAGCAAACGCAGCCCGTGGATGTCAAGCGCCAGGGCTTGTTTGGCAAACAATAAACTCACAGGTGCAACCTTTGGGGCAAGTTTTTAGAGGGCGTTGGGGAGAGGGAGCAGCAGAAGAAAGACGACTTCACCCTCAGCAGACAACAACTCCACTATTTTCCTGCCTTATAAGGAAAATAAACTTGCTTCAAAGCAATCCTTAACTGCCCTTTGACAGAGGTGAGGCGGGAGCACAGCAGGGAAGAAACGCGAGATGCTAGAGGCTACATGGCAGTGTGTGAGCTCAACCACGCCAGATTTTTCCCCCGTCTCGCTGGACATACCGATACGCATTGAAAAGATTCTTCTTTTCATTTATTCCTTCACATTTCCCAACCGCAGAGCATTTGAGAGGAAAGCTTTTTGTAGGGAAGTCGAGTGTGCAGTCATTATCTTCCTTGCATGACAGTTCCTCAGTGCTGGCATCATCCATGTCTGTCACTTTTAGGTTTCCATCCACCATAACGAACTGCCTCGGCTGGAAATCCAAGAGGACTATTGAACCCAGGGGGGAATGTGCCAAGTAAAACAGCAGTTTCACAAGACTCAGGCAAATCTGAGAAAGAGAAGATGAATATGCATGGGAAAAACAGATGAAAAACAGCTATTAAATTGGAAGTAGAACAAAGGGCATTCAATGAAATTAAAGGCAAAAAAAAAGCATATAGCACTTAAAAGGTAATTATATGTATGCTACAAAATTTATTATCAACATTGCCACAGGATTTGACTGTGGCAAGTAGTTTAGCAACATTTTTTAAAAACGTGCATATAAAAAAAGAGACATTTGCAGTTAAAGGAACTAGAGGAGAAAGCTGTGAGGAAAACAATAGCAGCCTTCATGTTTCAGGAGCTATATTGATTTGCTAGCTGAAATCAGAAGGGTTTTTTCCCATTCTGGCATAGAATTAATACATTCCCCTCCCTTCCCCCATGCTGCTCCATACAGACTGAGGCTCCATGGTCATTAATACCAGATTCATGCCTTGCTGCATCACTCAGCAGTATGAATCTGGGCACACAATCATGCTTCTGAAGAATTAGCCAAAGCATGCAATGTATTTATTGCCAGCTTTTTGGCTTTTATGTCAACTTTCTGGCAGGAGGGAAAGGTCAGACAATACCTGATCCAGCAGAAAGCTTGGTACATGATTTTTGAACAAACTAGAGCTAGAAGAGCATATTTACACTGCACCAGCACTTTGTTCAAGTAGCTTTTTAGAGCAGTTTTCATTCACTATCAGGAGCCCTGGCATCAGACCAACGGTGTCGTCAGCTAGGTGTGCCAGGCAGACCCGTGCCACCCCTCGCTGCCTCCGATCACGATCTGTGCGGGAGTGAGGGTTTGTTCATTTGGAACAGCTCACAGAATTGCTGGTATCTGATGTGGCTCATCAGAGGGGAATCCCATCCGTTTAGACGCCCTAATTAGGAAACAGGACTAGACAGTACCAGTGTAAACTCTGAATTAAGTGTCTTCATCAGTCAAAAGATTATTAAAATCTTAATGCCACCGTACCAGACCTTACCACCAGCTAATCCAGCATCATGGGTTTCTAGCTCTGCAGGAGACTTTGGCACATTTGAGAAGATGAGGTGCTGGGAAAGCTATGTAGAAGCCAGTATGAAATAATTTGTAAGCAGAAGTAGAACTCCACAGGCCAAGAGAGATGACTCTGGAAGCTCTGACGCTATTTTAGCTTCATTAGTGAAGCAATCATAAGAGTCCCAGCTTCACGTCCTGCAGCTGAGCGAGCAGAGTTGCCACACTCCCCCTCTGGCTTGGATGGCAAGGCTCCTCTTCAGCATTGAGGACCACATGCAGGCAGGGCTTTTATTTTGGGACTTTTGTTGTGTTTTCATTTTGCCCAAAGCATTTCTTATTGACATTAAGGTACCCATGCTTCTGCTTGATGCTCTCTTTCCTCCTGGGAATCAAACAAGTAGTAGTGAACCCCCAACTGAGACCTTGAGGCAAACTGTAATACAAGCTATAACCAAAATAAGAGCCGTGTCGTAAGTCATTTATGATCCTGGGGAGCTTAAGAGTCGCTGTGAGGGATGCTTAGGAGACAAGGCAGATCTAACAGGGATGTGATTCTAGCACCTACAGCAGGAGGAAAGCAATTTAGTAGTGTTTGTACTACAGTAATACCCGAAGGGCTAAGATCAGAAACATCACACAAGCGCACGGCGAGGCTCAGGCTGCCCAGCGCGCTGCCTACAGCGGGCAACACGCGGAAAGGCGCAGACTGGCAGCGGGCGCCGTGGTCTTCCCGAGCGAGAGCCGGCCCGCGGCGGGGCCTGGCTAGGGAAGCCCCTCCGGGAGCGGAACAATATAGAGGGAAAAGCAGCAAGACAGTGTAATACTGGGTACTAAACACCACCCCAGCCCCGAGCAAGATTTTGCGGCCAGTTCCTCACAGATGTAGCGCTCTCAACACCGCTTTAGAAAGCGGTAACAGCGAGACGCCAGGCTAGGGCTATTTTAATGTGATTTAGAAGGAGAGAAAGCAAAACGATTTAAGGGCAATTTGCGGGAGCAAGCAGAGTGTCAGTATGACAATCCCGTGTGCCCCTGCAGTCACCACGGGCTCTTCGCTCCTCGCATTTACCCAACTTGCGATCTAAAAGCGACTGATAAAACTCCCCTTGCTTTGTTTTCTTACTTTAAATCTTTCCTCCCAGGGGGTCTGCAGAAGCTGAATCATCTCCAGGGGGGATCCCAGCTCCAGCATAGCCGTGACCCGTATTTCGGCATCTCCGCTATTATCATAGCAGTGACCGTGCAGCTGCCGGGAGGGAAGGAGCGACTGTCAGAGCGATGCCACTGCCGGC